TTAAGTTATCGTCATAAAGGAAATTTTGTATATATTGATCTTAAATTGAACACCTGCCATTATTAATCTAAATTTTAATTTTAAATAGTTGCTTTAATTTTTAACATTGTTTTTTATTTTTAGAAACATATTAATTGGTATCCCTTTTATATGAACCTAATTTAGAATCACTAAATATTTCATTCTGCCACTTTATTAGGATATTATCAATATATATATGGAATATAATTTATGATGATGAGTAATCAATTATTATAACTCGATTTATTCAATGAGTGATTTTTTAAATTGGTATATTGTAAGATTGTATCTTATGTTAAATATTAAAAGGCATTTAGACTTCAATTGTTAATAAGTTATCCGTATATATAATTGTTGGTTAGTTTTTTTTTTTTTTTTTTTGAAAAACAATATTATAGTATTATTTTTAGAATTCTAAAAAATCACGCTAGTGCCAGATTAAATGAATAATTCATAGGTTGTACTTCGTTGATATTTAATTAGTAGAATCACATACATTTGACATTACTAAATAAATACTTCATGACATAAACTTAGCATATATCATTTCATAATGAAATGACATATAATATATACGGTCATAACCTTCTATTGATAATAAACATGTTTTAAGTATTCATTGTAATTCAGATCAATTATTATTAATTAAATTGAATTCGCATTGATAATATAATCTAATGAAAAATATTTGATAATAACATAAACATAAAAAAAATTCCTAATCATATATCATTCAATATGATTACAAAACTCTTTATGGTCATAGATGAATAAAGTGTAAAACTGTTTGTCATAGGTAATGTCCTATAAGCATATTGGTGAATATCTATTACAAAAACAAGATTTAAAAATTTCGTCTTTGTTTTTTTGGATCAAACAGGGTTTTGAAGAAAATATTTCACGGTTTTTTCCCAGATTTTCCCCACAAACCCAGATTATCGAAAAAATAAAAATTTAAGATTTTCGACATATAATCATCGATTTCGCATCCCTTGATTGAGATAGTCTAATTAAAATGTATTTCGAATTCGCGCGAACCCCGATTTACAAAAAAAAAAAAAAGATTGCAGATGGTGTGTGATTGAGGCATAGGTTCATTCTCCATTGATTAGTGAGTGAATTTAAGGGATAAAGATCATGATTTGGTAGCTAATTTCATTCATGGATGAAGAACATTGAAGAACAATATTTTGATTTTAATTTTCTTAATTTAATCTTTTAAAATATTTATGAAAATAAAAAAGATTTTCGAAAAATTAGACATTATCTTTTTGAAAAAATACAAATGATTAAAGATCGAAAACAATAATAAAAAAAACAAAAGGTTTGACTAATTATTTAGGAAATAAAAAAAAGAATCAACCAATAGAATTTAAGAATAGTCACGGTTATTTTAAGGATGATTATAGTAGAAACATCCATATACTAATAATTAATTTATATCTAACTTTTTATTTTTTCCAAAGTGATGTTGCAAATGGTTTCTGTGGACGCATGCCATGGTGCCGCATGCAGCGATACAAATCCATGCTGTGAAGAACATGGATGTATTGATGGCGTGTGCGTCGATTGCGAGTCGCACCAATTCCATTCGTGCATTCCTGGTGTTCGTGAGTGTTGTTCTACTACACCATATCAGTGTGTTTCTACCGGCGGTGATGACTATCATTGCGCATAGATGTGTACGTTTGTTTTAAACTGTCGTTGTGCATCTTATGGCTTCGCGATGCACGGTGATAGCACCATCGATCCAACCTACGTTTTATTTATTTTCTTTCCGTCTATATATGTTGATCAATTCTGACGATCAACTATGATTGTTAATGTTGTTACAATGTTACTTGTTTGTTGTCGATTGGGTTGATTTCGTTACCTGATTGAGTGTGATATCGAGTGTTTCATGCTTGGTTGTTTCATCCCATCTACCACAGTATACCTGAGGCTAGCTAGTTGGGAATATCTTGTACTATATACATGTTTACATACCAGCATGCATAATAATGAATTTGCAACTATTTATAACTTTAATTTATTGCAATATTGCCAATTCTAGTTATTTTCATGCATGAGATACCCTTAGCTTGTGGTTTTAAATGAATTTTCTCTCATATTGCTTGAAAATAAGAGAGTGATTATTCTTTGAAAATAACCATTCCATCAATCCAAACACAAACCCTTACTTATATTTTATGTTAAAGTTACAGTTAAGTTGAAAATTAATTATTATCTATGTACTCGAATCAATCAAATAACTCACAACTCATTAGGATTTGGCAAGGGCCGAGTAACAACTGTTGGGAATGACACAACAAAAATAACAAGAATAGCACATATACATGCACAAGGATTTTGTAGCTAATAATCAACCACTTCTATGAATAATTTGCCAAATATAACACCTACTATCTTTTTTATTCCTAAACAACTGCAATTACTATTAAAAAATTCTACCTCCCTTAAAAATTAGGTTTTCACATACATCTTCTAAACCTACTACTAGCTAGTAATAACATTTTGGAAAGGTTTACCTTCTAAAAAAAATTCTCCTACAAGGTTTCTACTTTAAAACTATGCCCAATTATTATTTTACTTATTGAATGAAAATGTAGCCAACTATACAACTCCTCTTTTATAATTTCCCAAATTATACTTCACGTCATCATCTAAAGCATAAAACCGCTTTTTTTTTTTTTACAATTCAGTACAAAATCGCCACTTGACTTAGCGGTTTCCAATCAAGAGAAAACCAAAAAAATAGATAATTAACTTTTTTTTTTCCATTAATTTTAACATAAAATGCAAAAATTAATCATTAATTTTCGGATATTTTTTATTGTAATACCTGACAAAAACCCGAAAATAGTTTTTAACACCCCAAAAAAAAACTTTTATTTTAACACCTGACAAAAACTATATGGTTTTTACCACCACTTAACTTATTCCGTTTGGGAATCCGTTAATCGGGGTCATGAGCCACATGTCGCTTTATTATTAGCCAAAAACGAAAAAAAAACCTAAAACTACCCAGCCACCCTAGCCCCACCACTGCCACCTTCTTCTTCACCTTGACCCACAGCCGCCGATGCAACCACCGGCGCACCACCTCCCTCTCCCTCACCGACCGACCTAAACCCATCTACACCCTTTTCTCGCAGCCCTAAACCACCCTAGCCCGACCACCGCCATCACCGGCCACGAATATGGCCGTTGATGGTCGAAATCGGCCGGTTAAGGCCACTCAGCCCCAAAACCGGTCGATTTCAGCCGTTAATGGCCAAATTCGTCGCCGTTTTTGGGGAAGGAAGGTTGCTCAGCCCCAAAACCACCACCCCTGAAATTCGTCGCCGTTTTCTGGGCATGATTTTCGGTGGTGGTTCCCGATTTTTGGGCTACGAGAAGCGAGGGTACGCTGATTTCTGGTGTAGGGCAGATTCGGTCAAGTTCGATGGCGAAATCCAGTGGCGGGGGGCCGAGAGAGGGTCGTTTGGGAGTTGGTCGGGGAGAAGGGCCACCGTTGGTGGCTGCCTTCTGGTTGTTTGAGTTTTTTAAAAAAAAAAATCTTTTTTTTCTTTTTGTTTTATTTTTATTTATTTTTATTTTTTATTTTTTGAAAACAAGTAAAATGGTGACACGTGTCACTATGGACCCCACTTAACGGAATTTTTGGACGAAAACCGTTAAATGGTGGTAAAAACCATTTTCGTAACATATGTCTAGTGTTAAAATAAAACTTTTTTTTTGAGGTGTTAAAACCCATTTTCGGGTTTTGTCATGTGTTAAAATAAAAAATATCCTTAATTTACTTAATATACAGAGCATAACTCACTTATAATTTTCTTAATATCCATGTGTGAGTGTATAATTATTAGCAGTATAGTCATGTCCATAATATAATAAGGTCATTACCTAAGCCACAAACAAGTTCGTGACAAATTATTTCCATTTTTACGGATCAAACAGGGACGAAAACAAAAAACGAATAGTTGTCTTCTCTAATCACACATTCGAAAGAACACCAATCATTCAGCCTAACCACCATGCCACTAGCCACCGCGATATAGCCAAACACTTATGCGGGTAATTGATCATCCTTAACAAATACGTAATAATGCGATTTTGGTTGAGATTTATAAAGAACAAAAACCTAAAAGTCAAAAACTGAAAAATTCAAAATGCTACAAAACGAATTGATGAACGAAATTAAAGATCGAACTTCACAGTGAAACATTGAACGAATTAGTGAATCATAGTGACAAATTTGCATGAAAGTTTTGATTTTGGATGAAGAAAATGAAGAACAATTTCTGTTTTAATTTTTTAATTTTATTTTGATTTTCTGATATTAACTAAGAAATTAAAATTAAAAAAATCAAAAATGAAAAAATATAATTTTCGAAAATTAAAAAAAAAATTATAAATAAAAAAAATGAATTTTAATTAAAAAAAAAAAGCTTTGAAAAGTCAAAGATGACATGACTTATAACATCCAAACAAATTATGCCACGTCATTAGGCTTGTAGTAGTCACTTTTCAAAAGGCTAATGTAAGCCCTAAATTTAATCCCTAATTTTAGATTTTCTTAGCTATCATTTCGCTTATATTTACTTATTTAATAGGCGTTATAGCTAAAATTATAATATTATTTGATCAAATCAATTATTTTCTTCTTGTGACTTATTTTTAGCTAAAATATCTATAACTAATATATTTACTTATTTTAGTCATAAGCTATTATTTCTTAGCTAACATTATAATATTATCGGTGTTTTTTCTGTGTGGTTGTTCATATCGTGTGGCTAGGATTACTTATACGGGTAATTTACTCAAGGGTTACTCAGTCGGTCAAAAGTTACTTATTCTGAGATAAACATTTTAAAAGCGTGTAATTTTTTAAATTTGTATTTGAACAAAATTTGGGACATCGTCTGGGCTGCTAACTAGTTCGAGACCTAAAATCTAAGACTCGCTACTCAATCGAGTACTAGTCTAGTCATTCGGGCAAACCACCTAGGCTATTGTAACTTCACCCCACATTCAGCTGCTACTCTCGCAATTTCATCACTCAACTCAACAATCTGGAAAAGCTCTGAATAAATTAGACCAAATTCTGAATTTGATAATCCCTATTTTTAATCACCCCATTCAAATTCAATTGAATTCACTTAGTTTAGCTCCTCCAATTTCCACTAAATTCCACTAATTTAACTATTTTTGACTTCTTTCAAACCCAGAAAACTCAACTATGGCAGCAACACCAATGCCGGGAAACCCTAATTTGGACGGAAATCCGCCGCCATTGCCGCCACTTCCGGGAACTGACATGACCGGAATTTGCTTCAGAGATCAATTATGGCTTAATACTTATCCTCTCGATCGTAATCTTGTTTTCGATTACTTCGCCTTGTCCCCTTTTTATGATCATACTTGCAATAATGAGCAATTGCGAATGAATTCTGTTCATCCCCTTGATCTCTCTCATCTTTCGTAAGTAAACCCCTAATTTCTTCTCTCTTTTGTTTCGAAATTATTCTATTAGGGTTTTATTTTCCTAAGTTTTATTTTTAAATTGTCATATTTATTGTTACAAATTTAACAAATGTGGTATAGTTTGATTTGATAAAGATGTTTGATTTAGTGGGGGGGGGGTGTTTGAAGTTGCAATTGTGTGTAGGTAAGAATGAATTTGTGTGTCTTCATTACATCAAGGTAGGTTTTTTTTTTTTTTTTTTTTTTTTTTTTGGTGGCAAAAAATTGATTATTGGTTAACTGTTAAAATTAAGCTGTGTTCTTGCATCTTTGATGTACTCTATTCATTTGGACCGTCTTGCTTTTATAGGACTCATATGGTTAGAGGTCATGTTTGCTGAACTGATTTAGATAGGCTGAAGAGAACAGAGGTTAAGTTGGTAGGTTTTCTTTTTTTGTTGCAAGGTAGTTTCTTGTGGGTATTTGTTAAACATTGAGTATGTTTTTGAAACAGGAAGATGACAGGGATTGAGTATATGCTGTATGAAGTTGTAGAGCCTAATTTGTTTGTCATTCGTATGCAAAAGAGGGATAGTCCTGAGAAAGTTACGCCGATGTTGACTTACTATGTATTGGATGGTTCTATCTACCAAGCTCCGCAGCTTTGCAGTGTTTTCTCTGCAAGAATTGTAAGATTTCGCTTTGATTGTCCTGTTCAAGTGATAATACTTGTAATACCCAAGATCCTGCTAGCTGTTAGAGTTAAATATGCTTATTGTTCCCTTTACAGTCCTAGTGGTGAAATTAAATAATTTTTCTTATAAAGTGAAGCTAATTTCACGACAGAAGTTAAATAATTTTGCTTATCCTTTCTTTCATGTTTACAATTTTTTTGGAGATTCTTTGCTCATTTTAAGTGTACTTGGATGGGCAGGGGCGTGCTTTGTATTACATACAGAAAGGATTCTCAACTGCTGCTTCCAAGTTGGAGAAGATTGGACATGGTAATTTGTTAATGCCTTTGGTTTCAGCATTTATAAGAGGTTCATAAATCATAATTTTTGACTTGCATGTTTTTACTCATGACTTTAAGTTCTGGGATTCCTGGGAAATCATCTTCTTTCACGACCTTTGGAAATCAGCGTTGCTTTATTTAAAACTGTCGTGATCTTGAGGGGTTTTCAGCTCGGTTTTGGAAGGTAAGAGAAGGTGATTTTTAGGAATGAACAACTCTTGGAAATTTTGGATAGATCCTTAACAACTGGTTATCTGTCAGCCAAAGTGTGGATCAGCCTACTGAAATCTACATTAAATCTGTTATCCACTTGGAAATTTATTAGTCTTAGGTGCTGAAATACTTGAGCTTTCTGGATCTCTTTTAGAGTCACTGGATCTCAAATTATTAATCCTGCAAACCCTTTCTCATCACTGGATGTCAAAATACTTATGTGATAGTAGTCTGATACTCTTATAACTTGGAAAATGTTGTAAAGCCTGGTCATTATTTTCCACCACCTCTGTCTGTCTCTGCCTCTTGTCACTAAGAAAACAATAAAGTTGAGAAGTGTAGCAGAAGATAATAGCTTGAAAGGGTATATAAAACCATAAACTAGGAACTGAGTGTAAATCTCAGTATTTTTGCGCATATGCTGGCAAATTGCAGGTCAAAGATTAAATATAAGGAAAGCAAACAAACAAGCAACAGTTCAGTGGAACTGGGAGAACCTGTACTGACTATAATAAAATGATCCAACTATGCAACATGACCTGAGAAGTTGAACTCGCTCTATGACTAGATTGACTACAACAAGAATCTTCTCATCTAAATTCACTTCTGGAGAAATCTTGATTTCCCTTTTACACCGTTTTGGAATTGGAAATCTAGAATGCTTACTTGTTTGGAGCACAAGCTTCATGCATAGAGCTTGTAATAAAGCCTAGAGAACTGTCTATTATGGCTTTTACCATGCTGGACTTGCGTAGAATTCTTTGAGTCTAGGATGGAAGTTTTCCTGTGCATTTTGGCATTATCTGCCTCACCTATTTTGGGTTTGTTGCTAATTAGATATGTACCACACATAGTAATTAGTCCTGGATTTTATATCTAATTTTTCAAGATACCTTGGAAAGTTCTAAAACTTGTTAACTTGAGTGATTTTTTTTATGCTTGTTCCAACAGACAGTGAAAGTGATGACGCAAATGATGATGCGACAGCTACTAAAGAGACTATTGATCTCAGAGAACTAAAGAGAGTAGATCATATCCTTGCTTCCTTGCAGCGTAAGGTAAGCTGAACTTTTTGAGCTTTACTTGCGTCTAAGCTTTCATACATGAAACATAGCTATTTTATAAGGATGATAATTCATGTATGTCCAGCGTCTTTCTATTCCCAGGAGTACAGAGGTTTTCTTAAGATATGATATTATTTAAATTTGAAATGAACTAAAATGGGACTCTAGTTATACAAATTCCCTTATAAGACTGTCATTACAAGTCTTATTGCTCTTGGACAGCTCTCTACCTCTCAATAGTCAATTCCTCTGTTGGCTTGTTGCAATGAAACCAGCCTATATTTTACACTGGATTTTTTTGCTTTTTTTTAACCTCTCATGGATGGAAAATATCATCTCAGACAAGGGACAGTTAATATGCTGAGTGTCTTTGAGGGAATGAGGAGTATGTCGTGACTTGTGATTAGTGAAGGCTTCATCTGTGCATATCATTCCTTCCCCAGACCCCTCCAGCGGCAGGATTCATTTGCTTGTTTTGTTTTTGGGTTGTTCATAAGCAGGTCATTTTGTGGATCAGATCTATGATTATTTAACTGTGGTTGTTTGTTATGAAAATGTTGAGTAGTCCGATTTGGGACAGCCGTTTTGTTTTGGGACTGAGTGGAACTTTGGGAAAACAATGACCAACATAATCTACTTTCCCTGCCCTCCCCTCCTCCTGCTTCTTTGCTTCCATTGCCTTCTGAGAATGCCACAAGCTTGTCCGCGGGGGGTAGTGGAGGAGAAAATTGCCGCACTCTTTGGTCTCCTCTTTTGAGAGCATGGCCATCAATCCGCAACAATAGCTATGGAGGTTAGACAGGCCAAGAAATTTATCTCAGAAGGCAAAGAAGCAGGGGAAAGTAGATTATGTTGGTCTTGTTTTGTTTTGGGAAAGTAACTTATGTTGTTCATTGTTTTCCCAAATTTCACATAGCTTCTGGAATTCTAGACCAAAAAGTTCCACTCACTTAGAAACTCATCTTACCTTAATATAGAATAATTTTCTACTTGAATATATTTTTTTTTTTGGTCAAACTACTTGTAATTTGGTTACTGAAGATTTTCAGTGCTTTATTGAAGAGTTGCTCTATTATTTGAGATTAGTACTATGTAGTTCTGCAAAGTACTTGTATATACTAAGCAGCGTTTATTCTGAATATGCAGCTACAACCAGCGCCTCCACCACCCCCATTTCCAGAGGGCTATACTCCATCTCAGCCTACGGAAACAGAACAAGGCTCAGAAACCCAGCAAGGGACAGAACAACAGCAGCCTCTGCCTGTTGATCCCATCATTGACCAAGGGCCAGCTAAAAGGACGAAATATGATTGATCTTTTCTTGCCAATTTCTTGCAAATTTCATGTGAAATAGCAAAATGGTGGCTTTGACAGGGTTGATGTTTCCTGTAAAATGGAATATATATGGAATTTGAGTGAAATATCTCCCTTCTTTCATGATCATCTATCGTGCTACTGGAAGGTTCATCTCAATATATTCGCTTCCCAGCATGAGGTAATTGACAAATTAGAGATGCTTATCTTAAACACCATGCTTATTCTCATGATCAATTTCTCTGATGCTTAGTGATATACACTGAAAATTGACCTTACAATACTGCATGTCTGAATATGACTACCCGATAATTTGTGATTTAAGTATTTAAGCTTGTACAACCTCCACTTCTCTTTTCTCCGTAAAATTATGCTCTTCTTTTGCAGCTTCACAGGCTTCTTCTGTCTTCTCTTGTTCCTTCTGTGCTTCCACATTTTGCACACAATCTTTAGCCTTCCTTGTCTGGACCAACAGCTCTTTCACCCAGTTAAGCAGCTTCTCAGTTGCCTCCTCATCTGCTTGTTTCATTCACTCGTCAGTGAATTGGATACACAAAGGAGAGCTTGACAGTATATTTTGCTCTCTATCATACATATATGTTCCATTTGACTTTGGTGGCCAAATTTCTGATCATAAACACATTGTATTGATCTGTAATACTGGTTTATAACATGTCTACATTATCTTGAAGAATTTTTTCAGTAAACTGTCAATTTGTAGTTTTGAACATGCTTTCAAGGACATGCATTAATGATTGTAGTTGACAAGTTTTGAACACAAAAGTCAAATGGTAGCCTATTATTTTTTAGAATCAACATGTTATTAGACATTTGAAAATAAAGTGTGACAACATACCTAGTCTTGGCACAGTGTGGCCTTGAGGGTGCCTTATAATGAGAGGTTCTTGAAAAGCCGCGGCAAGGTCCTCTGAGGGAAGTTTCAACCAATCCTTTTCCCCAATAAAATGAACTGATTTAGCCTTGTTAGGGTCTTTGTAAGCAACCTCACAGATGCTTGGAATCCTAAATTTCGATCCAGAAACCGATATGAAGAACTTGAAAGGTGGATGATCCTTCAACACCTTCCCTTGTGATTGGTATCCCATCAAAAGGGCTGATAATGTTGCTCCCTGATAACATAAATCTGATGAAAATTCATATATATGGTAAAGCATACTTCATAGTTTTCATTTAATTTGAAGATGTTACCTGAGAGAAGCCAAGGAGACCGTCAAAGGGTCCATGGGTGGTGATGTAGTTGCATAAGTATGAGATGCACTCTTCCAAGTTAGTATATTCTGTGAATTCCTTCAAAGAGTAAAATGTCGATCAGTAAAACTGTTGGGTACTTGGGTCTAATAGCAAACACCCACATAGAACCGAAAGTGGTTGTGCCGAGCCTTAACGCAACTGTGTCACGGCCCAACACAAGTCACACAACACCTTGTGCCGCCCCAGATCACTTGCTGTGTTTTTCCTTTCGGCAAATTTTGAGGAAATGAAAGTGAAATCATTCCTGTCAATTTCTTTCTTTCTTTTTTTTTTGTCCTACCAAATTTTATGCAATTGATGAAACAGAGTACTTTATTTCTTTTCCTTTACCTATCTTTTACATAATCGTCGTGACATAAAAAAGATAACCTCTCTATCTCCATTAATCAAGAGAATCAGAGAAAATTATCGAGAATTCGACATACAAGAAGTAAACCATGAATGCTTTGCTAATTGCTACTCTAACTCATCTGAATCATCTATCATCAAGTCATCAATCAATCCACTCAATTTAGCCAAAAACAACCTATGTGTTTGGGTCCAATTTAGTCCAATTGGGCCTAGTCATTAAATGATCCAATTAAAAGCCCAAGGTCAAGGTTCAACTCTCCAATTGTGCTAAAGTCAAGATCAGTCCACAAGGCAAGTCAATTGGGCTAAGGCCCAACTTCTCCATATATGCAAAGGTATAAAAGCCATCAATATTACATTTGTACATTCATTCAAACAAAGCCTCAAGCAATTAATTCTCTTGCATAGCATTCTCTTTCTACACACTGTACTGACTTTAGCATCGGAGGGGCCTTCCTCGGCAACACCCCCGAGGCTAGTTTACGTGTGTTTACTGAGCAGGAAACCTTCGGCCCAACATCACTTGGACCGAATCCAGTCTTCTCCACTTCATCGGACCTTCGACAAGGTCCCATTGTTTTCACCCGAAACAATTTGGCGCCGTCTGTGGGGACGACTTTCAAAAATCTTTAAACCAAGTTTCTAACCGAAATCATCTTGCAATTATCTTAGTAGCAATGGCTAAGAACCGCAAGAGCAAAAGCCTCCGTCAAGGAGAAGGCGAAAAGCCTAGAACCCCTACACCGGACCGAAACTCTCCCAAGGGTGCCAGCTCGGGGGGAGGATCATACAGGGAGGATTCCCTTTCTCCCGTAATTCATAACTCTCATCATAGGCCGAGTCACTCTCAGTCTAGCAGGGGTCAGTCCGATCATAGGACACATTCAGTGCCCCAAAGCCAACCATCGACCGTCCGCTCTCATTCCCATACTCAGCCGAGGACCCCTTTGACGGGGCCCAGCTCGGAGGAGGTGGCAAGAGCGCTGGCAGTGCTCATGGAGGCAATGAGGGCACAAAATATGCCGCCACCTCGCGATCGAACTCCTCCGCATACCCGGCATCAGCGGAGGAAGCTAGACCATGATGGTGGGAAACTTCCTTCCTTCCGGGAATTGGAAGAGTGGGAAGAGGATACCTGGAAAGCTGAAAAAGAGAGGAAAAAGAACCCTCAATTCTTCAGAGGATCCTCGACCTCCCGACAGGAAACGCATAAGAGCAGCAGCTCAGCTTCTCGGCCAGAATCTGCTCGCCAAGAACAACCTGAGACTGTTCGCCGAAGTGTTCTCGACCGACTCGGCGGCAAGGAACCGAGCGTGCACAGTCGCCTCTCGTTCCCTGCAGCCGAGGCCCAGACTTCCCAGCCAGGGACGAAAACCACTCCTACATCTCTAAGAGGGCGGAGCGCGGTCCCTTCGGCCAGGAACAAGGGCAAAGCCGTTATGCTACCCGCCAGTTCCCCATTCGAACAATGGATACTGGAAGAGCACGTGCCCACGGTTAAAATACCGTCGCACATCACATATGGTGGGACTTCGGATTCGAAGGACCACGTTGCCTCGTATGAGGCTCATATGCATCTTTGCCCCAGATCCGAAGCGACTTGGTGCAAATATTTCCCAACCACTCTCAAGGGGGTCGCGCAAGCATGGATCTCCAAGGGAGTAAAGCAAGGCTCTATAACAGGGTGGGATGATCTGTCCTCCAAATTTAGGAGCAAGTTTTCCACGGCAAACCGCCGAGAGAAGACTACTGCAGAACTCATGGGTCTGCAACAGGGGGAGACCGAAAGCCTCCGAGACTATCTGACCCGCTTCAGCAACGAGTCATCCAGTGTCTCTCAGCTGGACCAGGGGCTAGCCGTTTTTGCAATGCAGAATGGCCTTCAGCCCGGGAAGTTCCTAGACTTCACGGTCATGCATACCCCGCAGACCTTGGAGGAAGCTCTGAGCGCCTCGGATAAATTCATCCGAGCCGAAGAGTGGAACAAAACAAAAACCCAACCTCAATCTGGGGGAGGGAAGAAAAAACAAACACCCTTGTCTGAAGGCCAAGGCCAGAGGACAAAGGGAAAACAAAAGGCCTCGGAGCAATCTTCGGCCAGCGACCCAAAGAAGGAAAAATCTGCCTCATACACAGGCAGATACGAGTCCTACACTCCGCTCTCTCTTCCACGCGCCAAAATTTACAGCGTGACGAAGGAGGAGCAAAGTTACCGAAAGCCGAGACCACTCCTAGAGTGGTATCAGCGAAAAAATAAAAATCAGTGGTGCGAGTACCACGAATCTCCGGGACATAACACTGAGGAGTGTATCCAACTGAAGGACCAGATAGAGGACATGGTCCGGAAGGGATACTTGAAAAAATACATCGCGGATCACCGCGAGAAAAATGAGTCTGAGAAGTCAGCAAAGGACTCTCGACAAGACCTCGACTTCCCCCGGAAGAACAGTAAAAGGCCAGAGGGAGAATTCTCTCCGATCAATGTTATCTCGGGAGGAATATGCTCTCGGAGGGAGCACAAGCGACACCTTAGGGCTCTGACCCACCAGGTGAACAACGCTGACATTCAGCCTCCCCAGTCGCCGGTGCCGAACATGACGTTCACAGCCGCCGACTGCCAGGGGGTAACGTTCCCTCACGAGGATCCGTTGGTGATCATCGCCACGGTGGCCAACCACGACGTCAGTAAGGTCCTTGTTGACGGTGGCAGCGGAGCAAACATTCTGTTCCGAAAGGCCTACAATCAAATCAAGCTGAAGCCCAAACACCTTACGCCGGTACCCTACCCAGTATCCGGGTTCAACGGGGCTTCAACTTATCCAGATGGGAAGGTGACACTTCCTGTCACCATCGGCTGCGATGAGGCAGCCAGGAATGTCATGATTGAATTTTTGGTCATCGACGCTCCTTCAGTGTACAACGTGATTTTGGGGAGACCCATAATTCATGAGATCCAAGGGGTCGTCTCAACTTATCATCAGCTGATGATTTACGTCTCAGACGCTGGCTTCCCCGAAAGGATACAGGGCAACCTAAAGGACGCCCGAAGGTGCAACTACCTCAAGCCATCCAGTAGTCGCCCAGATGACGACAAGGACGAGGAGAAAGAAAAAGAAAGAGAGCCAAGCACAAAAAAGCCGAAAGGCCTAAGTGCTTCGGCCCAAGGATCTGTGCCCAGAGAAAAAGGGCCCGAAAGGGAAAAGGCTAGCTCTTCAGCTGAACCGAAAGACTCAGAGAGCCAGCCGAAGAACAAAAAGACTGGGACACCTGCTGACATAGGCAGCAGGCCAGATTCTGAAGAGTCCAGTCCATCAGCAATGGACATGGACCAACAGACTGAAACAGTTGAGTTGGCCGAAGGAGACGTTGAGAAATGCGTAACAATCGGGATGGACCTTGATCCGAACACCCGTTGTGAACTTATTCAGCTCCTTCGGGACAACAGAGATATGTTTGCTTTCTCAGCAGCTGATATGCCCGGGATAAGTCCAGACCTCATCTCCCATAAGCTTAATGTTGACCCAACGTGTCGACCAATTAAGCAAAAGAAGCGGAATTACTCCGCTAATAAGAACCGAGACATCGCAGCCGAGGTCAAAAAGTTGCTGGAGGCAGGCTTCATCGAGCCTTGTCAGTATCCAGAATGGCTTGCAAATGTGGTGATGGTTCAGAAGGCCAATGGTACCGGGAGGATGTGCGTTGACTTCACGGACCTAAATAAGGCTTGTCCGAAGGATTTCTATCCCTTGCCGAGGATCGATCAGCTAGTTGATTCGACAAGTGGCCATGCCTTGCTTAGTTTCATGGACGCATTCTCGGGGTATCATCAGATCTTCATGCACCCCGACGATCGAGCAAAGACGGCATTCGTCACGAACGCCGGGGTGTACAATTATAAAATGATTTCTTCGGATTGAAAAATGCGGGGGCAACCTATCAAAGGCTGGTGGATCAAGTTTTCGCCGATCAAAAGGGCCGAAACATGGAAGTCTACGTCGACGATTCGATCGTCAAAAGCAAAAAATCTGAGGACCATGTAAAAGACCTGGCTGAAACCTTCGCCACCTTGAGAAAGCATCAAATGAAGCTGAATCCGAAGAAGTGTGTCTTCGGCGTGAAGTCAGGGAAATTCCTTGGGTTCATAGTCAGCAAGAGGGGGATTGATGCCAATCCCTCCAAAGTCAAAGCAGCGCTCGACCAAAGTCCAAGCGGGATGTTCAGCGGCTCACCGGAAGAATGGCAGCCCTCTCGAGGTTCATTTCCAGAGCTTCGGATAAGGGGTTACCTTTCTTCAAAGCCCTGAAACTCCCGAAACAAAAGAGCTCGTTTGGGAGAGAGAGCAAAAAGAAGCCTTTAAGCAGCTTCGGGAGCATCTGGCTCAACTCCCAACGCTGGCTAGCCCAGCAGAAGGAGAAATTTGTATCTGTATGTGGCCGTTAGCCCAGCCACCATCAGTGCAGTATTGCTGAAGGAAGAAAGCAAAAGTCAGCAACCGATCTATTTTGTCAGTCATACACTGACGGATGCCGAGACTCGCTACCCTTTACTCGAGAAAGTCGCTTTTGCGGTAGTAGTAGCTGCTCGGAAGCTGAGGCCCTATTTTGATTGCCATCAGATAGTGGTCTTAACTGATCAGCCGCTGGAAAAAGTTCTCGGCAAAGTTGAAAAATCTGGTAGGCTGGCCA